CAGTCAAAGCACACAAGCAGCCTCAGGCACTGGCCTACGGTGAAAATCGAAAGGAGGGAGTTTTTCCTCTCTAATGAAACTATTTAAAATGATTAGAACATCTCGTGTCCATCAACGAAGGGTCATCACTTGTAAGTCGTGAATTGATTTAACTTCACAGTTTGTTTTACGCAAAGATAAAGACTTTTCCAGATTCTTCTTTAATCCAGCTGAGAAATAACAACATTATCCTTGTTTTGTAACAGTTTAAGATGACTGGAAATTAGTTAACTGTTTTTTGTTTGTTTTTCTTTTTTATCTTGTAATTTGCGCAATTTGAGATGATTAAAATTTATGAAAACCAAAATGGATATTTTTTTTTTTGCTTATCTCTCAACAACGTCCAGTGTGTGGGATTTAAGGAGGCTCTTTTGGCAGAAATGGAATCAAAATGTGCATATTTATGTTTCCTTTAGTGTTTAATCACCTGGAAATAAGAACCGTTGGGTTTTTGTTATTTCAGAATGAGCCTTTGCCAGAACAAACAAATCAAACACTTGCCATAAAAAGAGTTTTTTTTCTCCACGCAAACTGTGGTTTTAAGGAGCTTTGGTGCCACTAAAGCCTACACACGTCACCCGTACATTTTTAGATATTTATTTTTATTAATCCTATTCCATAATGTGAAAAACCTAAAACCATATTGTAGCCTTAGTGGGCCTTGACTTTGCGTAAAGAATCTGATATATTTGTGCAGTTTTCCTCAAAACTTCCCACAGCAGGGATGTGATCTCTGCTGGCTTTTATGGTATGTATTGACTCTACAATGTGCTGTACTGACACGCATGCAGAAGATCATTCACATCGATTAATATAACTTGCTTTTCAGGCAATCTAGTTTGCAAAGCTTGGTATTCTGTCCAAACAAGCGGATGGATAAATGAGTGTGTTTCCCGACATTTAAGGAGGGCGGCTCTGTATAGACCTGAACAGCTCAGTGCCCATTCAGGGGGAGAGGAATGAAAATGTCAAAGATAGAAGTCAGCGAGCCAGAAAACACCAGAGGAAAAGAAAAGAAAAAAAGCAGGTCTGATGCTCGGAAACTGATGAAAACAACACATGACTTAAGCAGAGCCTTGACAGTCGGTTGCAAATGAGGGCAGGGCTCAGAAATTGGCCTAAATTGAAGCTAGATTGATGGTCTCTCTTGTCGCGGAGAAAATCAATGTGAGAAGATATGAGAGATGGTGTGAAGCATCAGAGATAAATAGACGTGACTGTATCTATTTGTTTGTGGACATATTAATCAGGCCCAGTAGCACATCAAGTCAGAAAATGAATTCCAAACTGGCCGATATGAGATTAGTTAAACAGACAAGTCCACAACTCAGACGGACGAGGCATAAACATTCACTCGTTTGCAGGTTATACGTATCACAGTTAAACAAGGCAGCGATTCGAGCAGTTGTGCTTTTTTTTTTTTTTTAGACAAACAGCCATGGACAAAGTTTCTCTTGCAGGGCCTGTGAAAAATAATTTAGTGCACTAATCCAGAGCTCTCCTTTTCAATTAGCGGGAAGGTCAAGATTGTCAGAGGGAAAGCACATGAAACACGGCTTCGGATTTAATGAGGCTCCACACTACAGTGAGACTCTGCAACCTTATGTCTGATAAGATTCTATTTTCTGTGATCAAATCCAATAAGAAAGAAAGAAAAAAAAACATTTGCCCTTAGGCAGTAGATGAACTTGTGGAGAGACGTGGAGTGAAATGATTTTCTGCTTAGATTTGGTTGTGACCCATTGTGTTTTAGGTGCTATTGTCAGTTAACCTTGGTTTTTTGTTAATGGAGCAGCTACACTCTTTCAAAAATTGATTCAAAGGCTAACATGGGCACGAATCATTATTTTTGCACTACCTTTTGCTATTCATCTTTTTTTTTCCTATTTATGAGATGCAAATACAAGAAAGAAACATCCAAAAATCAGCCCCATGTCGCCTACCCCCATGCCTGTGTCTGGTATTTCTGAGAAAAGATGATTCATTATCATGTACATATCCCCAGTAGTGAAGGGTGGAATGTTTATATCTGTAACAAGTACGAGACTATTCCAGCAGCAGCCCTCCCTCTGCTCGCTGCGCTCGCCAAAGAATTAAGAGATCTCGTCTTCTGGGCTGCAGTGTTATTCGATGCCGAGTTTAATTTGACTGCTGCCCCGGACACGTACATCATCATTGCGGTGGGAAAGTTCACTCAGGCAGCAGCTTATGAGAACGTTTAGAGGGAGAGCGAAGTTTCTTACAGAGATACAGCTGGGATTGAATGTTCAGGTCTGCTCCTTTAGAGACTTATTCCACATAATCGTGTTGTTATCATATCTGTGATGTTCTCTGGTGCAACCAAGAAGTAACAGTGATGAGATGGGGGAGGAATTGATATCTGCTCTCCTGTGAGATTTCTACATGAATAACTACTCTAGTCAGCAGTGCAAACATCGAGCGTAGAGTGAAATCATTTTCTTTTGCATTATAAGAGGCCGACAACAACAAAAAAAACCAACAATATTTTCAAGTAGTAATTTTAAACCAGTTACAATACAGTCCTGCAAAGTCATCAAACCAAGTGCTGTTGAATTGAACCATATGTCAAGTTAAACAAAAGGTCGAACCAGCATCAGTTTTCTATTTTGACTGTCAAAATACATCAAAAAGAAAAGATGTACAGATGTCCAGTGACTCAAGAGCATCTGTATTTATCAGAAAAACTACAAAGATGACCTCTCACTCTATGACTTTTGCATGAAATCCTGTCCAGCTCCACAGATGCAAGGTTTTCCTTTCTCCAAATGATCATTAGTTTGAGGGGAAAATGTCCGTTTTTTTTTTTTTTGTTTTTTTTTTACTTTGATAACCAAATCCTCTTATATGTCAGAAGAAACAAAAAGTATGCATGCATTACTCCATTTTACAGCGTCTCAGCAGAGTGGCAGGTGAGCTGGTGTGCTTGAGCTGCAGCGAGAGGAAGAGGTGTGGGTTTGGAGTGACATCTATGTCATTTTAATGCAGGAAGGAATCCTTTTTATGGAAAAACAAAACAAAACAAAAAAAACATGCAGAGATGATCGATTTCGTCAATGACCAAAGTGGGACTTTATCTTTATATTAATATCTACGGCTACTATATTCAGATACTTAGTGTGTTCATACCGTGTTTACTCATGCTGTATATAATGCACTTTACTGCTGCTTTTGCACTTCTGGTTTGATCCATCCATTATCTGTACACCGCTTAATCCTCACTAGGGTCGCGAGGGGCTGGAGTCTATCCCAGCTGACATAGGGTGAAGACAGGGGACACCCTGGACAGGTCACCAGTCTATCACAGGGCTACACTTAGAGACAGACAACCAAGCACACTCACATTGACACCTACAGACAATTTAGAATCACCAATTAACCTCAACATGTTTCTGGACTGTGGGAGGAAGCTGGAGAACCCGGAGAGAACCCACGTTGCATGTAAACTCCATGCAGAAAGATCCCAGGCGTCCCAACTGGGATGTGAACCGGGGATCTTGTACCTGACAGTGCTAACCACCAAACCACCGTGCAGCCCACTTCTGGTTTGATGCACAACTGAATTTCAGTGAATGCAGTCCAATCTCAATCACATACAAACATTTACAGTGCTCAGAAGACAACAATAACTTTGGTGATTCCTTTTTACTTTGGTATCAACAGGCTCACATTTTCAGTTTTGACTGAAATATCTTCAAAAAACATAACATTGTTTGTGACTAAATTTAATACAGAGCTTCATTTCCTTCCTCAGGATGAACTGGAGTAACTTGAAGGATCCATTCTTTTCTTATCAAGTCAAAATTTCGCTTGGTTTACAACAAAACAAATTGCATTTCCATCATAATCTTCAATTGCAGTTTAAGCTGAGTCCCAATTAGCAAGTTACATGTTAACACGCTAAACCACCATGATGGTAATGATAAACATATTACCTGGTAAACACCATCATGTTAGCACTGACAGTGTGAGCACATTCGCGCTGAGCTCAAAGCACCAGAGAGCTGCCAGCTTGGCTGCAGAGTGTCAGTCATATACAGTCACAGTGTGATGACTGATCATCTGTTCGGTGGCTGTAGGTCTGTTTGCATTCCACCAAGAGTTGCATCAGGTCAACCAAACAGGTGGCTTCATTATGATGTGAGACATTTTTCAGTATTTCATTTGGTTACCAAATGTTACGTATATTAATGACCTTGTCTTCTAAGCCTACGAAGACCAGTGAAATTATTCAGTCTTAAATCACATAAAAGCTCAAGATGAAGATGTTTTAACAGCATATTAGAAAGAGGTGCTATTATTTATGTGCACAATGTGGGTCTTGGGAGGTCATTAGAGCAAGCTGAGTAATTGAGTAAATAAGCTTCTGGCGAAGTCAGTCCACTTTCTCTTTCTAACAACTCCGACATGCCAGCAGGAAGCCGGCTCCTGTTCAGTCAGACCGTCAGAAAACTCAATCGGCCCGGTCTTCGAATTGTGTTGGGATAAGCAGCAACATGACACAAGTTTGCAAACCAAGGGAAAAAAAAAACTAAACAACAACACAGGAAAATTCAATTAGGCTTTAGCTGGAAGCATCTGATAAGTTTATGGAAATTAAAGTTTTATGTAAATCAGTTGTGTGCCTGGCCCGGTGCCAGATCACAAGGGGCTGCACTATATTGCATTCAAATTAGCTGCCTCAGAAAACTCAGCAGTGATGCCTAACAAGCCCCCCAAAAAACAGCATTACAGGAAATCTAGAGTGTGTTGTGTATTCAAAAAGAGATTTCATATTACCTTCTCATTCCTAACACCTTGTCTATTACTGTAAAAAAAAAAAAAAAAAAAAAAAAGAATAATAACCCATCTCTGCGCCTGTTTCAAATTACTACTCCCAATACTGCAGCGTTTCTGCTGTCACGACTCCACACACCTTCGGCTCGCTCTCTGGAGACATCAGATTTAATCTTGTGATACAGTCTTTATTTAAACAATTCCTTTTTTGATTTCCTAGAAGACCAGATGAAGTGTGTGAGCTAAACCGCAAGTGCTAAACACACTGCAGATCTGAGAGCAGCTCTAGTCCCAGAGCACACTGACATCTTGTGGGCGATAAAGGACATATCAAGGACAGAGGCTGCATTGCACAGATATGTATATACTTTTTTTTTTTTTTTTACTTTTATGCTTTTTCTTATTTATTCTTATCTAATAATGCATGCATCTGTAGTGTCATTGAAACCAACGTAATAGAAATGACATCTGATATTTGCATCTGTATTGTTAAACTGTACACTATTACAAAAACAAAACAACAAGTACATAAGGACAGGATCCCTAAAACCTGACAAAAATGAAACTTTACTGATCCGCTGACACAGTATTAAATTCTCACAGTTAATTGTTGGATTACAATTTATTCTACTGAGTTAAAAACTGTCTTTGAAGGCGTAAGGCAGAGTTGGGCTTCAGTCAGTTTTGGTCATTGTTGCCTTCAGACTCTGATTGCACAGATGCTACCTTGAAATCGTGGAGCTGGCATGTGATTGGCTAGAAGAAGTCGTGGCAGCGCTGAGCTGTGAGAAACCGCTCTGACAAGACTCCAGACTGCTCATAGATCCCCTAGAAATAACAGAAAAAAACAGAAATCTTAATTCTCACGCATGACATAAGTTGATCAATCACTGATCAAACATTTAAATCCCTGTGAAAAAAAGGGAACGACAAAAAACTTCCATGTGAAACATACAGAAACTTAATTTCCAGAAATACCACGGCACAGATTTCTGCAGGAAAAAAAACCCACACAAGAGCAGCGAAAGACAGCTTTGGCATAGTACAAAGAAAAAACATGGCAGGAAGTGGAGAAATAAAGCTCAGTGGCATAAATAAACTGACCTGAAGTCATGGGAGGCCAGCACCTCGGTGTAGTACATGATCTTGCACTTGTGGGAGGAGACCTGCAGGGAGGCCAGTACATCGTCCACGCGAGGCAGGCTGGAGGCGGCACAGGCTGCCAAGCTGTGAAAGCGCCACTGGAGGATGTAGAAGCCGGGCCAGCGAGTTATGTGGGAGCCCTGTTTTCAAAATCAGTTTGGTGATGGAGGATTAGCCACTTTGATGACAAACAGGGGCCAAGACAGGTTAGTTTTGTGTGCAGAAAGATCTAGATTGTTCTGTTTTCCTTCCTCTCTCACCTGCACGCTCTCTCCCTCTCTGCAGGTGAAGGCTTTCTCCACCATGCTGTAGTCCTGGCCCAGCACCCAGCTCCTGTCTATCAGCTGGGCATTACCAGCCCCCAGGGAAGTGATGCTGTCTTTCTTCGGAGGCCTCTTGGAATGGTAGATACTGAAGATCACGTCTCCTTTAGACACATCAAAGTCCCAGGTGATGACGGCGGAGGCCTCTGCGATCTCAATCAGCATCTGTGGGAGGATGCAAGGAGATTAGAAACACACAGCAGACCGCAGGCCGTTCGTCACGTGATCAAGCATGCAATACAGATTTGGTCCAGCTGGTGGCACCCTAATCCAATGTATAAAATCCACTGCATGTACAGACATGCTTTTCTCACACCTTGATGAACACTTAGCAATAATCAAGACGGTCACAAGTGGAGACTGCACCTCATACGGAGCTCCCTTGAAGATACTGGCGCTCTTATAGATGGAGTCGGTCAGCAGGCGGTTTTCTTCGCCCTCCAGCTCCTCTGCTGTCCTGTACAGAAACTTGGGGACCATACCTCCCTCAGGGATGTCACACTGGAGAGGGCAAAAGAGAAGAAAAACTAAAAAAATCAAGCTCAACTAATATTTCAAGCAGCATACATACTGGCTTGTTTAAATAAAGGAGTTGTAAAGGAAAATAATATTACATGTAACAGGATTTTCATAAGGTTTCACTCACTTTTAATAAATTCAGAAGTGTAGGTTTAGTTTGAAGACATCCTCTCTCAGTTGGTAAATGTCAGTAGCGGTGTAACTTAGCCAGTTTATGAGAAATGCTTGTGTGTCAGTGTGACCAAGGAGCATAAAAATGAGATATAATGCATTTACAGAGCTTAAAACTAGGCATATAATGTGAAATATTGTACTAAGCAAACACCCTGACTTGCTGTTGTGTTTAAAATAACACAATAATAAAAATGCATGCTGTGTTGGAGTCAACTGAGGCGAGCCAGCTGCTGACTTTTATGTTCCTATTCGACGATAACCTGCAGCAGGCATCCAATGCATCATCCAAATTAGGCGCAGTCCGTCTTCTACATTTCTAAGGTTTAATATTGTAAAGCTGGACACGTCTTCAATTAGTCACACGGAGGTGATGAATTGATTGACATCGATGGGCAAATTTGAAAAGACAAGAGTACAGACCCCTAATTTACAGGTGGATAAACTGAGGATTTAACCTCACCATGCAGTCCCCTCGTAGGAAATCGGGGATGATTTCTCTGTCAATGTAGTCCACTAAGCCTCCTGGACCCTGGTAGTCGTTTCCAGCATAAACAAGGAACTTCTTACGAGTATTCTCATCAATCAGGGGGCTGACCTGGAAACGAGACACCAACAGTCATCAGAGAACATGAAAAAAAGAAGAAGAAGAAAAACCAACAGGGTCACTTATTATAAGCTATGAAAGTCAATCCATGATTAATGAATTATTCATGTATGAGAAATAAATGGGTTGGCTGGCTGATGGTGCTGCTGAGCATCCATGCTTGTGTTTTGTATCGATTTTTATCATCTTAATAGCTCATTCTCATTACCATTGGTAATTTCATTATCTATTTGTCAATAATTGGTTGTTTTCACATCTCCAGGAAGTAACTGTTACAGTCCAGACTAAATATTATGTACCCACTGTGTACTGCTTAAAGTACTTCTAGTTTGGTTTTCATTCATTTTCCCAAATCTGTATGCCTATATCGCTACTTAGCTTTGTTTCCCTGCTGAATGCTATTACTATTTGACAAACAACACTACTGCATACTGCTACAGCAATGATAAAATGTCCCCCAGAGTGATCAATTGAGTCTTTGCATTGTGCACAGCTATAATTATTGTTATTTGTCAATATTTTTTTTCCTGCTTTGCTCTCCATTTCCTCTCTGTTTATCGTTTGCTTATTCCCGCAGTGTGAATGGATTGCACCCAATTATTTAGGATCTCTGTGTCTGCACTCAGCAACTTCTTCCATAATCAGGTGATTAATTAACACGAACGGTGGCACATCAAACATAAGATGCTTATTCTCACCAGGGTCCAGAGCACCGGAAAAACTCGAGGAGCTCGCAGTATAAGCAGGCAGCCCAGAGTTTCAGGGTAGTTGGCCTCAACCACCTCGATGATTCTCAGCAGAGCTTTTACGCCTGGTCTCCACAGGTGACGCATGTTCAGACCTTCCAGATCCACGAGGCAAGTCCAACAGCTGACCAACATGTTCAAACAGACACTTAACTACATGCTGTATACAAGCATGTATACCGGTTTGCTCATTGGCCACCGGGACAGATTGAAATAAAACAATATTCAAGTACCTGATGGGTCGACCAAAGACTCTGGTGTTCTCCTCACAGCGCCTCAGTCCCTCCTCGTTGATGGACAGGATCTGGTTCAGAGTCATGGAGTTGAAGCATTAATATGCGTGAAAATTAGTAACATATCACGTCCTAAATTCTGTGCATGTACTCATGTCACCTGTCTCAGTAGCACCTCCTCTCCCAAAGCTCGTACCAAACCCTTGGTGTCCATTTGACCCAGACGCAAGATATACAGAGGACGGCCATCTAACCAACACATCACACACACACACACAAGGAGCAAACATACAGAAATGAACACACTGTACAACCTGCTAATATCTAGATATAAAATCAGTCTTAAATCTTAGCAGCATAACATTTCTCCTGCCTTGGATCACCCCTGCTGTTTATGTAAAGCTGGTATTTACCATTAATTTACCATGTGAACATTCAAAGGGCACTTTCTGTGTTCAAGTCTGAAGTCTGACCTGGTGAATCAGCTGAGCTGACTCATTTTCAAACATGGGAGCTCTGACAGATGGTGTTCAGATTTCACTGTCAATAATTAACCGGACATTTCAACCCATGTGGACGTTATGAATACAGAAGATTAAATCTGTTTGCCTCTTTGCGCTCACTGGGAAGTGTTCGCTTTCACTGTAGACAGAGCTCACAAAAACAGTAATAACCTGCGAAACAGGCACAAACCAGGATCAGACAGTCAGTATGCTCACTCAGTACCTCTGTCATGGTGATGCCAGCCTCCGCTGTAATAATCCTGAAGCAGCTGTGGACGTTCCCATGTGTCTAACAGGAAATCCACCTGATGTTGCTTTCTCCATGTCAGTGACTGGCACAAGAACTCCCTGGCCTTGTCTAGATTGAAATCTCTGGCCCTGAGGAAGCGCAGCACATGCTGATCCTTTGGAATCTGTACAAAACAGACAGAGGTCAAAACTCCAACGCACTGTTTCAGTAAAGCTAGAAAAATGCAAATGAGCATCTTAACATTCAACAAATGTATGCTTGTTACTTGGTTACCTGTAATCTATAGCATATTATGTATGTATATAAACTGACTGGCCACAACAATAAAACCACTGACAGGCAAAGTGTTTAACAGTGATCATCTTGTTTAATGCAGTGTTGTGCTGGAAAACCTCGGGTCCTGGCATTCATGTGGATGTTACTTTGATATTTACAACCAACCTAAACATTGTTTCAGACAAAACACCATCCATCCCACAAAAAACTGCGTATGGACGACTTGAAGAACACAAGCAGGAGCTGAACCCAGCCTCCAAACCCCCCAGATCCCCATTCAATCAGCACCAGTGAGAGACCCCACCCTACATTCCACTGGACCCAAAGGATCAACACCACAGGGCAACCCCGGTGGTCCAGTGTTAATGCTTCGACTGCTTCAGCAGCACAAGAAGGACCTACACAATGTTAGGCAGACGGTTTAAATGTTGTGGTTCATCAGTGTATAGCATCTTGTACCAGTAAAAGCAAGAAGCTGAGAAGAAGCAGGGTTCGTTTGAGTGTCTTATAAACAAAGGCATACTGTGCATAACAGCACAAGCAGCTTTTTTAGTGAAAGTAGCTGTGTTTGTGTATATGTGACCTTGCCCTTGTGAGTTTCCTGGAGCCACTGACGCAGCCGAATAAGGCAGCTCTCCTGCAGAGGCGTTAGATCACCTAGGTAACGTCGGATGTAGTCAGCATCCAACTTGTCTAAGGGCCAAAACACATTTACAGCGTAAAGTTAGCTCATATGGCAGCCGTCAAATAGAAACATCAGGTACAGATTCTAATTCTACATGACTGACTTATGTAGGCCACCTGTTTTTATAAAACACTTAAAATGTTCATTAGTGGCACGGGCTGAGCACGAGGCCACTATTGTTATCCTGGTGCGTTTCTTCTGATTTCAGGTCTTCGGTACAAAATTTCCATGGCCTACTCCTCCCACAGATTTGAGAGCACCCACACAAATTATACATCAAAACGTGCGGCTCGATCGGGACAAGTGTGCTTACATACAGATTTACGAAAAACGCATTTGTCGCAACACAATTCGCGAAAACGTCGCAGAAACCTCCCATTGAAAATTAATGGAACGGACGAAAAAAACACACAAAATTACACTACTTTTCAAACCGCCACTGCTCAGCCATACTTTCACCTAGAGACTCCATTTAAACTTTAAAATGTTGATGCATCTGTCCCCTATTTCTAAGCATTTCTACTTTTCCCCTATCTTCAATTGTTTCTTTGTGACAACCTCTCAAGTTTTGAAAGTTTTTCCCCCCTTTTCAGCCTTTACAATGGGTGTGTATGTGGTCCTTTAGAGTGAGTGATGACATCCCTAGAGTGGGAGCTCACAAAAAAAATCACACAGTAAACTTTTTTCAACTCGTCGCCCTGGCCACAATTTTTATGCCACAGACATAATTTTTACATCAAAACGTAGGAAAATTTGTCCTCCCACTCACAATGTCACTTTGGAATCCCACAGAATTAAGTTTGGGTGGGTTTTGGAGCCTTGTTCCTCCACAAGTCTCTCTTCCTTCCCCATCTGCACCCATTCAAAGACGGCTGCGGATTTTTCTCAAGGACCACAAATTTACACATTTTTTCTCAAATGATTGTGCGCTCATTTTTTACTCTAGAAAAACAAAAAATACATCTCTGTAATGCCCAAGGTCTTGGCTTTCTGAAAATGCACTCAGCTGTTCTCTCTGACACACGGTTTTGACGAAAATGGCGGTTGTTTGAGGTCTTCTCCTTCTGGTTTCTTCTACTGATTTGACAGTTAAACCGAGTATCAGTTGCAGCTGTGTGCTTCGTTGCCCGGCAGCGCTCTAACCCTGCTCCCCACCCCCCCTCCCCCCTCCCCTGCTCCCTCCACACAGCAACAGCCCTCCACACAGATGAGGCTTAGGTTATTCAAAGTTTTTAGTAGGTTTGGAAATTATTAAATCGTCATTTAAATCCCGGCAGACTCCCGTGGCACTCTGAAATTTTCTGCAAGGAAATTTTCTATTTCTATTGGTGCAGTTCTGCTTCACTGATGCTATTGTTGTAAAACTAGTGCACTTAAACCATGAAATCAATTGTAGATAGTGTAGTCCGACTGTAAGTATACACATGATGCACATCTTTTCTTTTACATCACACCTTCATTTTGTGTGTTAGCTTCTACTCTGAACTTGATCGTGACGAGTGAGCGCACGAACCATCAGGCGAACCCGGTAGTAACTCCACAGGACTGGTCGGATCTTTACTGCACAGCCCATCCTTGGCGCTGCTCCCTGGGATGGCTCTGGCAGCAGAGGGGGGCGGCAGCTGGAGCCTTGCTTCGACACCGCCGGAGACGTCAGGGGGCGTCCAACGAGGTACGTACGTTACTCCTTCTTTCTCCAGCTCTCTGAGGTAGTGCTCGATTATTTCTTTACCCTACAACAGTTGACAGAGAAGAGAGGTCAGGCAACAATCGGATCAGTCAGATAAGATTCCATACTTTAATTTTCTATCTACGTAGTTTAAATTATAATGTAAATGTTATTTGTCTTATCATAGGTGGTAAAATTTTATATGCAAACCTTTTGAATGCTACTAGCATATTGTTTCACTGCAATCTTCTCTGCTGTGCTCTCAAAACCAAAAAAGGACTTAATATCCAGACTAGCAGACTGTTCAAAACACGTCCAGTCCTCATTCTCGGGATGAACCTGCAGAAGAGGGGGAAAAAAAATTAATTTAGAAAAAACCCATCACATTGTTTGTGTTTTTGTCACAGCAACATAGCATGGTGAATACAAATACACAAAACTAACAGTATGTTGTGTCTTGCAAAGTATTGCAAGTATCATTTAGGTTTTTAAGATGTTCTGCTGGTACAAGGTGAGAAACAGCAACATTAGATAAAGTAGAAATTAAACTAGTGGCTGTAAAAAAAAAGTCAAGAAAATGATATTATAGCAGTGGCTCTGACTGAAACAACACCAACTTTAAAAAAACGTCTGGTGGCACTAGCTGTTCAGCGCCTGGAGCACACTATAGGAGGAGCACCTAAAATAAATAATTCAGGCATCGCACATTGTGCTGCCTTTTGGAACAGCTCTGTGCCATCCAAATAGCACCCAGCAGTGTAAAAGAGGAAACAATAATAAAAAAAAGAAAGAAGTACAGCAACAGAGAAATGAACCTCTTGCAGCCTCTTTCTTACTGATTATGACGTTTGCTCCGAGACTCACCGTGTAGCTGCAGGACTCACGGACGTTGACTCGGTTGGAAAAGGTCTCGTTGTGGACCTGGATGTGGAGGGTCCGGTTGCTGCGGTTCAGAGTGTTCTTTTGTTTGAAGTACAGGTAGTCTACGCCTGCAATCTACACGAAGAGAGAACAAAAGCTGTGTTTTTTTTCTTAACAGGTTTTTAATAGATATGTTCACTGGGCAAAAGAAATATTCTGATAAATATAGCAACTGTTCTGATTGTTTAATTGGCCTCTGTACCCGTTTGAGAAGTCGCGGGGCTTCGATGTCGATCGTGCAGCGCCTCTCCGTCACCACCACAGATCCATCTTCACTTTGGCTCTGGTTGATGATCTCACTGTCCACAAACACTGGGATCAACCCGCACTTTGGAAACCTCCTCACATAGGCCTGAAAGGGAGAAACGAATGCCAATCTAAAGACATTTACATAAGGACATTGCGTCTTGTGCTCCTCTGATTGCTTTTTTGTGTGGTTCTGTACAACTACGGCATGCCTGGCTCTAGTTTATTTTGTCTTCGCTCCTTTCCTGCATGAGGCGGCTGGCGAAAGCTGCTCGGTCGCAACAAGGTCACTTGAATGAGAGTAAAGTACAATTAGAGTTGCTCACTTTTCATTGGGCAGCATGTAATTTACAGCACATGATTTCTGTGTCAGGTTAGGAGGCATTTAATAGTTTGTAGCTTAAAGCGTTTATTTAAATGCATATTAAAATTTTATGTTTTGTGCATAGCAACTACCGGCAGATGTGGCAGATTTTTACAAGCAGCGATTGCTTTGTTTTACTGCCCACAGCACATGACCATCTGTCCAAGCCGGTTTCGCCAGGGTTCACCTGTCAATATTGATTGAGCTACCGAACAGGATCTGCAGTAATAGCCTTCTGTCCATGTGACTGGCAGCAGTGCAGCTTCTAATGACACACTATTGATAGTAACCCAGGGTGAGGAAGGAACTAGACTGTTATGGTATAGACAGCTGCCTGTGTAATGTTTTAAAGTAAGAAAACAACTGTTCCTGCTTCAAGGACCTTGCAGTAACTCAGCTTAGTTATCCAAGATGCTAGATTTTAAAAGTTTGAAGAGCTAATTACTATGTTCTATAAAACCCACAAGGCAGCATCATTTTCAATACATTTCTCACCGAAACACACTTGTTGCATTGATGCACTGGAGCACAAAAACAATCCAATCATTAGGATGAAATAATTCACTAAGGAAATTAATGAGAAATGTTTCCTTTGGTAAATGAAGAGCATTGACTCGGGTTGTGTAACAGACACACAGTGGACCAGAAACAATATCTTTCCTGATTGCAAACAAACTGAAATCTTTGTCTTGTCTATTCTTCTCAGAGTAATGAGCATGAGCACACGATGGGGGTTCGAAATATTTAAAAAAGGCAAGTTTCTGTTCTGTTGTTTTAGGCTCAGCAGACCCAGAAGACTTTTAGTAAGTCAAATATCACAAAACAAGCAGTTTCCACTA